CCGCATGTGTCTCTCTCCGTGGCGAGGCTGGTGAGGCTGCGGCCCGCGACGCAGCCAGGGCCGACGTCGGCGCTGTGGGTCCAGGGAGCAGCGGGGCCCTCGCCCCTCGCTGGGGGGGGCCTCGGCCCCCTCTGCGCGCAGTCGCTTGTCCACAGCCAGCAGGGGGTGGGGGGCCGGGCCAGCGTGGGGGGCAGCCCCTCGTCCCCGCGGCGCCTGGGTCCGTGCGTCGCCGAGTACATCGCCTGTGAGCCGAGCAGAGACGCACGCGGCCACGGCGTTAGTGCGCACACACACACAGCATACACACACAGCACACAGCATACACACACACAGCATACACACAGCATATATACACACACACACACACAGCATACACACACACGCAGCATACACACACACACAGCATACACACAGCATACACACACAGCATACACACAACATACACATACAGCATACACACACAGCACACACACACACAGCATACACACACAGCACACATACAGCATACACACAACATACACACACACAGTATACACACACACGCAGCAGACACACAGCACACACACACACGTAGTGAGCAGAACGGCAAACAAACTCATGTGCAGCCACACACAACACCCCTGGTGAAGGAGACGACGTCTGCTCGTCCCAAGCAGGACAGTCCTCGCCAAGGCCTTTAGATGCAGCCAGGGGCTGCTCAGGGGTTAACTAAACAAGTCGATGTCCCAGTGCCGTTTGGTTGTTTACACATCCCATTAACTCAGTGGCCCTTCTGGGGTTGCAAATATAATGTCAGCAGCATTGGTTTAAGACAGACAAACTCTGGACGGGTTTTGACATTCATCAGCAGAGCCAGGCTTGCTCCAACCAATGCTGGTCAATGTGTGGCCGTGTAGAGGAAGGGCCCTCTCTGTTGGGGGTGGCTTCGTGACTCGGCGCACAACGACAGAAGACACAAACACACACAAAGACCACGGTGGGGTCACGGCCGATTCGTTTTGATCAACTCGCGTCTTGCAGAGTATTTGGGCTGCTGCACGACAGAAGGCACACGCCGACGATGGGTTTCAGTCTCGTCAAGTTATCACTTGTGGCCAGGTCGCCTCTGCAAGCGAGCTGAGACAGTGTCGCTCAGTGGGCCACGCGTGGTGAAATAACCACAAAAAACCCACAACAACAACCACCATAGTTTCGATTTAAAGCTTTTGTGACTGCAGGGATTCATCTTCTTGGTTCTTTCGGTAAAGTCACGTAGAATGGAAATAATAAAATAATAAAAAGAAAACATAATAAAATAATATAGTATAATAAAATAAAATTATATTATATATTTTTATTTTTATTATTTCCATTCTACGTGACTTTACCGAAAGAACCAAGAAGATGAACCACCATAGTGTTCAAGTCGTGGCATAAGAATGTCGCGGACGTCTTCCCGCAGGGACCGGGAGCGACGCTCGCCCGTTCCCTCCTCCTCCTCCTCACGCCTGCGACCGCTGCGCCGTCGACGAGGCGGACGGCGGTGGCGGCCCCGCCGAGGAGGCCGCGGGGGCCTCCCCGTGCAGCAGCAGCTCGCGCTCCAGCCTGGACGCCAGCGTCCTGACGCCGGTGGCGTTCGCGGGCACCGCCGCGGAGGGCGCGCGCACCCCGCCCATGCGCAAGTGGTCGCTCCCGTCCCTGCTCGGGGGAGTGGAGATGGAGGATGGAAGAGGTGAGGGGCAAGGTGGGTGGGGAGGTGGGGAGGGTGGGTGGGGAGGGGGGGCAGGGTAGGTGGGGAGGGGGGCACGGTGGGTGGGGAGGGGGGGCACGGTGGGTGGAGAGGGGGGTCACGGTGGGTGGGGGGGGCACGGTGGGAGGGGGGGGCACGGTGGGTGTGGAGGGGGGGCATGGTGGGTCTAGAGGGGGGGGGGGCACGGTGGGTGTGGAGGGGGTCTCCCGGGGTAGTAATCGCGCAGGGCTCGGTGTGGTGGGCATCGTGAGAACTTCAGGGCTTCATTTCTCACTCCGTGTTTTCTGGAACGCTGCCAAAGCTGGTTTGGAGCAGGAATTCTCGGCGTAAGGCACTACCACTAGAGTACAACGTGCGGCCGTCCATTATAATCCCGGCTCAAGGTAAGCGCCGGTTATACCGCGGCGACTTGAATCTGGCATCGGTGGTCACTGCCCGGTCACCGAAGCCCCAGGCACCGCTCCCGAGTCCCCGTGGCTCGTGCTGACGCGCCAGCGGTGCCGTGCGTGCAGGCGGTGTGGGGGGTCGCCACACGGCGTGGAGGCGCTCGCTGCAGGTCCACCCTCGCGCGGAGGCCCCGTGGCACGGCGCGCCGCGTTCCTCCTCTTCCTCCGGCGGCCTCCCGCGACCGTCGGGCCGCGCCGCCGCCGCCGCCGCCACCCCGGCTCACGCCCGCCCGGAACGGAGGCGCCACGGAGCCGCCGCCGCCGCTCCAGCCTCCTCCGGGGACGCGAAGACGAAGCGGTCGCAAGCGGCCGGGCGGCGCGCGCGACGCGGCAAGGACCGCGAGGGCCCGCGGACACCGGCTGCCCCGGCTGCCCCGACGGAGGGGCCGGCTCGCAAGGGCAGCCTCCGCGAATCCCTGCGCAGCTTCTTCAGTCGGGGCAGCAGGTGGCGCACGCACGGCGGGAGGGGGGGCACGAAACTCATCGCATTGTCGAATGGTCGGTGATGGGAGATGCTGGGATGGATTTTTTTGTTGTTGTCAAAAACGGGATCAAGATGCATTTGCCGATTTGTGAATTGGGTCCTTTCTGAACACCAAGTTAAATTAATTATTATATTTAATTGTAAATCAACTACACGACTACTGGAAAACGTCCTCCCCATGCTGTGTCTGGAATAGGGGTTGTTTGACCAAACTTAACTGCGCTGATCAGTGCAGGTTCGTGAAGAGGGGACTCAGGACCAGTTCACAAAAATGTCACGCGCCACTGATGTTATTTGTGGCCAGGAATCGAATTCGGGTGGCCGGGTTTATGGCGCTCAGCTTCGCGAGGGTAACGAAAAGTCCCCTTGCGCCGTGTTCGCGCAGATTTCCCAACGCCACGGCCACGGAGCTCCACGGGGAGACGAAGTGACCAAGGGCGGCACAAGGGGCCTCGGCTTCCTCCCCAGCCAGGAGAGATGACGGCGAGGACGGGAGGCGCAGGAGCGCGCGGTTAAAATCAAACAGAAGCACTTCGACGGGCACCTCCAGCACACACGCCCCCGCGAGCACGCCGCAGTCGTTCACGAGTCAGAACGTCGGTGCCGTGGGGGTGGCGCAAATCTCCATTGGCGAGCCGAGCCGGTGGTGAAGAGGACTGCCGCGAGAGGGGGGGGGGGGCACGCTCCCCTCCCCCACCTCCACTGCTGGGGACTCATTTCGTCAGCCACCGCTTGCGACAGGGTGACCCCAAACCGAGATTTGCAGCCTTCTAATTGCGAGTTGCACGGCTGCATTTGCACAGAGGATTTATATGCGAGTTGTTTCAAGGTGGGGCGTTAAATTCTGGGAAATATCAACATTACAAAATTGTTACATTAGAGAGTAGTGTTACTTTTGCTCGATTTCCACAATCGCGTGTATTTTGAACACACAACACTTTTCTATGGCACTTCTCGTGAGATTTGTACGATGTTTTAAAATATTTTGTCCAAGTGAAAATAAAGGCGAGTGCACTCTCCCTGTGCAACGACGGTGCCCATCGACTGTCTGCACAACGCCTGCCCGCTCGGAGGCATGCTACTCGGTTGGGCTGCCTCCGTCGCAAAGCAACGCAGCGGTTTTATTTCTATTCACGAGGGTGGTTCAAGTACTCCGGATAGTGTAAAAGCCACGGGTTCGACTCAACCTATCATCCTCCCTCCAGGGGGTGGATTAAAAGGTGTACCCCCACCTTAGTAGGGGGTGTGTATGCACCTGTACGCTGGTTTCGCCGGGCAAGGAATGGGTGGAAAAGCATTCATTTACACCGAGGAGTTTCCCGAGAAAGCCTCCTCGCTGTGTTCATTCACTGCGATCAGCGCCCGCTACTGTGGACATCCAAGCGCTGTAAAGAGTACACTCGTTTTTTCCTCCCCAAGTACTCGACCTTGGTCGATGGGAGACCGCTCAGTGCTATAAGCGACCAGAGACCCCGGGGCAGCCGCGAGCGCGAGGCCCACCACAGCGGTGCGCTCGAGAGAGAAAGAGAGAGGGTGCAGTGGAGGCGCTTCCTGCGCGCAAAGGCATCGATGTGGCCAAGGCTCGCCGAGTGACGCCGGGCCGCCACCCCCACGGCGTTCGGCGTTTGACGGACGCAGTGCTCGGACGGTCGGCAGCGCGTGACCGGCGCGCACGCTGCCGTGACGGCCGCACGAGCGTGCTGGATAACGTTGGGCACGGCGGGTCCGGGCTGAGTGTTTTGCCGCCAGCTCCCGCACCTCCGATTAGCTAGGGTTGGCTACGTACGGTGTGGAAGAAGTTCAACGTACACATAGTACGTGGCACATGTGCAAAGCCCGATTCTCCTTACTTGCTGCGTCACCGTCTGTGCGATTTCAGCAGAAACGTTATGGTCCATTGGCTAGAGCAGAATGCATTTCCACATAAGTTATCAAAACATTAGTATTGAGTTAGTTACACTAATAACAGTGAATTACATGACACTTGATTATCCACTCATCTACGGATAAAATGTGCCTTACAAATGTAAATTTGTTATTTCAAATGGTTATCGCCGTTGTTGGCCACATCGAAAAATTGCAACCGCCGAGGTTATGCCACCGCAGGGTGGCAGCGACAAGTTGAACACTGGTCTGGGCTCGAGACCCCTCGGTGAGCATTCAGAGCAACGATCCTACGATTCGTGGCCAGCTGCACGTGGCAAGGTGTCCACTGCCACTTGGGTCTCGAAACAACTTGACGCCTCCTACAGACAGGACCGTGTGCACATCAGCTCCGAGCTGCTTTTGAAGTGTTTGTGTTTTGGCAGAAAAAAATGAAACATTTTCTCCGAAACAAAAATTGCAGTTTTCCCTCATTTTATTTAATTACATTTTTCTTCCCGCGCTGTAAGAAATAACGTCGCTTATATGCAGGTCCGTGGCTACGGCACAAACGCAAACGCTGCATGATTTACGGCAACTTTCACCGTCAGGAAAATTACATAATCATGTTCATCAATGGATCTGGGAATAAAATATTAACGATAGAAAAAAACTAGACAGGCCCTTTTGTAAAATGTTGATGGGGAACAAAAAAAATAACAATAAAAACACAAGGCTGTGTCAAGAGCCTTGTGCGAGTGCGTGTCGCAGTTAAAACATTTTGCATCCTTGGTACACACTGGGGTCACATCTCTCCTCCCAACAACCTGGCAGACACAAGAAGCTTCCAGAAAGAAAACGTGACATTGAAGGCGACGGGCAGGCGAGGCCCTGGAACACAGCCAGCTCGTAGGTCAGCACACGACACCGTTGCCGGAGTTGAACGTTCCCCGCTCTACACCGCAAACCGAACCGTAAAGGGGAAGATGCTCTCATCGTGAATGACATGGGTGCTGCCGACACTGAACGTAGGGAACCCCAGCCAGCTGTAGCTGTCATGGCAATCGCTGGACACAGACGAGGCTTAAATAAGGACACTGCGGCGCTAGGTTCTGGTTCCAGTGTCGATCCCAACCCGACAACAACAAAAGAAACTAAATATAATTTCGCTGTAGGATTTTTGCCAGAGACAATGGCTGTTAAGGCTGTGTCATACAAACTCGAGCCGTGCAGGGTAATGGATAAACCAGGGGTTGAGTGTTCATATAAAAAATATATGGAAAGAAATAAATAAAAGGGACGACATTTGGAAAAGTGCCTACATTGCCGAAACAGAACGCGAGGCTCCGGCAGCTTCCTTGCCGGTCCAGGGCTGCTCTCTCCTCACCACTTTCCGTCGCCTCAGCGCGACGCTCAAGGTTACGATGTACGGCGGTGCCTTCCCAGAGTCAAGTGGACGTTTCCTCTTCTCTTTGTAACTCCATGATTGCGTTTAAACTTTGCCCCTCCCCGTGCGGCTGTGAGCAGTCGCTCTGGATGCGCGGGGTTCAAGCACGCTGCTCCCTCCCCGTCGTGACGATGGGATCGCGAGACCCCTTTTGACACCCCCCCTCCCCTCCCCGGCCCCGTGCTGAAAGTGGCCAAGCCCATGGGTGCTACTCTTGGTTCCAGCCGAGAAGGAACAGATATTCATTTGTATTGGTGGGCGGGGGAGATGCATGATAACCGTGCTCGGTGCAAGTCACTTCTAACCGATCAACATCCCTCATCTCTCTAACTTGTGTCTCCCTCTCTTCTCTCTCATCTCGCTCGTCTCTCTTGCTCCTGCCACAGACACTATTTCCCGGTGCAAACATCCGCGCCACTGCTTCAAGTCAACATCACGATGCGCCAAGTTTTCTTTTTTTGAGCCGAACAAATATTCAGAAAATCTTATCACGACTTTTGTTTTTTTTTCCACGGGCTGTTAACTTCCTGGCAGCCAAGACAGGGGGGGGGGGGAAGGGCAGCCGCACGGGAACGGCGTTGGCGTTGCGAGGACCTTGGCAGAACTGGGCGTTCGCGCGTCTGACGAGGACCCGACGCCGACACACGGAGGAGATGACAACTCGGGAGTGCGGAGCTCTCGGCTTGGTCTCAGATGCAAACCGAACCTTCTCTTGTTTTGCTTTTTTTACGAAGCACTGCTCCAGTTTGTTGCGGACGCACGCAGTGATTTCAACATGATGAACATTAAAAAAATTAAAATAAACCTTTGTAATAACGAGCAAAGATAAAAACGAAAACAAACCCAAGAGGCGGTGTTCGATTGTGTACAGGATACAGCATGCAGTGTCGCGGGGCCGGCTGCCGTCTCTCCACCTGGCCCGCGACGATGGCGGACGCGGGGAGCGCCCTTCCCGGCTCGCCTCATTTGAACCAAAATCAAAGGCGCCGGAGAAGGAGAAACCCCGCCACGATTTGTGTACAATAACAAATAAAAAGTAAACACGTGATTTTTTTTGTATGAAATAAAATTAAAAACACACCAACGACCAAAAATAAAACAATCCGGGCCGTTTGAGTTGCGCGGAATTTCACAGTCGTCATGCTCGCTCGTCACTGAGCAAAAAACCGTATCTGGCTCAGATGGACAAATGTATTCTTCTTGTTTGAGATTAATACAATTAAACATGACCAATAAAATAATACCAATACAAAAAAACATGAACATCATCTGCAACAAAAACTAATTAGAAATAAAATACAAAATGCGCAAAGAAATAAAAAAATAAACCGTCAGGCTTGTTGTGCCGTTTAAATTGGGCAGGGTGCTTGCGGCTGGGGTTGCTTGCGGCTGGGGGTCTGGGCGCCCCGTGGCCGGGGGGAGGGGGGTCCTCGCTCGCTCGCTCCTCAAAGACGATGACGACGCAACAGCGCTCGGCGCTGGTCGACGATAACACACGCTCCCCTCCTGCTGCTCTTCCGCCTTCTCGACAGTGTTACTTTGCGAACTCTTGATTTTTAAAGATCGTTTTATATATTATCATAATTATTACTAATATTATTATGAGCATTATTACTATCATAATTATTATTCATAATAACGTTATGATTATTTTACAACAGTTTGTGTTTTTTCTTTACGTCACGTCGCCGTCTTGATTCGCGGCTTTGTGTTTTGTTTTTTCTCCGCTAGGGGGCCTCCTGCGAGGTTGCCCGCGCGCGCGGCGTGGGCGGCGTCGACAGCTCGCGCTTGTACGTCTTGGGGGGCAGCTTGGGCAACGGCGCCTGCGCGTTCGCCGCAGAGGACGGCGAGGACGACGAGAACGGCGCCAGCGAAGACGAGAGCGACGACAGCGACGGGGAGGAGGCGAAGGAGGCGGAGGACGACAACGACGGCAGCGACGGCGGGAGTGGCGGCCGAGCCGGATCCGGTCGCGCCCCCGCTCAAAGCCGCGACGCCGCCGCCGCCGGGTGGCGTGGGTCGCGGAGGCAAGGGCGGCCCCGGCGAGGGCGGCGGGAAATCGTCGGCGTCTTGGTACGAGAGGTTCTGCGGGAACGTCTTGAGCGGCGGAGGCGGCGGCGGCGGGGGCGGCGGCGGAGGCGGGGGCGGCGCGGACGACGGGTTGCAGAAGCGCGGCAGGCGGCCGGGCGGCACCGGGGCCAGCGGGAAGGGCGACTGCTGGCCCGTCGAGGGCACGGGCTGCGTCGTCGTCGACGCCGTCGTCGTCGTGGTGGAGGCCGGGGGAGGCGGCGTCGGGGGCAGCGAGGGGAAGGAGCAGCAGGCCGAGCCGAAGGACTCGGGCGGGCGATAGTTGACGAAGGTCTCGGGCGGCCTCAGCGGCACGGGGGGAGGTGTGTGCGAGCGCGGCTCGCGCGGCGGGGGCGGCGGCGGGGAACTCTGCGGCAGCGAGGAGCGGTGGTAGGAGAGGCGCGTGGGCAGGCGCGGCGGGATGGCGGGGGGGCTGTCGGGAGGCTTGGGCATCATCTGAGCGGGCGTGGGGGGGGGACAGAGGGAGGCGCCGGCGGGGCGCGCACGGCCACGCGCGCGCGTCAACACGTGGGGACACAAAGACAAAGATCCCTCGCGAAGCCTTAACCGACTGTTGGGGCGGGTGCTGTTAGCGTGCACGGTAAGCACACGTATATATAGACTGGAGGGGCAAATGCTGTTATAGAGCACATACTGACATCAGCATGGTAACATGAAAAGGAGGTGTAGTCAGCACCCACACCTGGCCCCCTTTGCCTCCCAAGTGCTCGTGTTTACACACCGTGCCAGATATTTGGTACCGATGTTGGCCAAACTCAGGTTCGTCGTGCAGTGTGCCAATCACTACACTTTCACAAACCAAGACCCCCTGTATAGCCTTAACAGACTGTAGGGGCAAGTGCTGTTAGCGAGCACCTATGAAGGCCAGCACGGCACACGAGGGGGTGGGTGGCCAACACCACGCCCGACTGCCTTTGTCTCCCTAGTGGAAATGTTTACACACCGCACCAGGTACTCATTTGAGGCTGAGTCGACCTAGGGGAGGCCCGAGACCGGTTCAGATAAATCGTCACTGGTGTTGGCCGTGAGCGGGAATCGAACCCGGGTCGCCAGGTTTCGTAGCGCAGCGCGCTAACCGCTACACCACCGCTCCCCCACAAACACACACACACACGCGCACACGAGTGCGCACACAAGCGCATGCCAATTTGTTACCTTGGAAGGTGAGGACTCGGTGGGCGCGAGGTCGGGACGCCGCCGAGGGGGAAGGGGTGGAGGCACGCAGCACTCCTCCGCCCGGGACAAACTTGAGATGGATGGGGATCCTTGGCGGGGGCGAGGACAAACGGGGGGAGAGGAGAGAGGCGGCGTTTGGTTCTGCGGCTCTCAAAAGTCGCCCGCTTAAGCCGGTGCCGCTTAAGAACGCAACCTACAGTCTCGTCGACGACCGCGTCTCGCCGACGTGACCACCCTCGCCGTTCCTGGCAATGCAAATGTCAGTACGGGCAGTGCCACTGCAGCACACACAGACCTTGAGAGAAATGCATCGATTTATTCAGACCAAATAAATGACGCTGGGTGCTGCGGTCACTCAACTGCGGCCTCCCAACACCCTCAATCCCCCCCTCTCTCTCCTGCCAGCAAGCGGCGCCGCTTGTGCTCTGGCGCAGCCTTCGCCATGAAAGGCTGTGCACCGAGCCGTCTTGCAAACCAAGTAAAGCCGAGTCGATAAATTGACAACTTAAAAAGGACTGATCGTACCAGCTACAATTAAAACGACACACGTGTTGGCTTCAAATGTGTACGTGGATATACAGATCTTGTCAATCCACTGCTGGATAATGGCCAAGTCAGTTATTTAATTGTAAAGGATCTTGAGATGTCACTTGCATTTAGATGCTATATATAAAACCGAGCGATGTGATGCGCTCTGTGTAATGTCACCACCACCGTCACCACCAATGCCACCGCCGTCACCACCACAATCACCGCTGCCACATCGTAGCTCGCAGCCCGAGTGTCGACTCACGCGTGGCCGGGAAGGTGGAGCTCTCTCCCTCGCCAAACACGGAGCCCGTGTCGGAGGCGGCCGAGTGTGGCGGCGTGAGCGGCGTGTTGGGCGAGTTGGGCGTCGAGGCGGCGCCCGCCGTCTCGCCGTCGCTCTCGGGGATGCGGCTGTAGCTGATCTTGCGCGGTTCCCGCTCCAGCGCGATGGGGTGACCGCGCAGCGTGCCCGACGCGGAGGTGTGCCGCGGGCGGATGCCCGGCGACTTCAGCGGGAAATTCGTGCGACGTTGCTGTGGGGGCGTGGGCGAAAGGGGTCACCGGGTCAAGAACGGATGGGGACGTCGCCAGTCGGTTGTTGCCAGCGTGGATCGGTGCCCTCGTCTCCGTCACACTGCCATTGTGATCGCACCGTCAGAAACATCTTCACGCAGTTAAAAGTATTTGTATTTTTTACTTTAGTGGTATAACGTTTAACACAAATGTGTCGTAGTAAAGTAAACGAACAAACTCTCCTTTAATGCTGTAATCACGAGCATCGGCTGTGCTGCGCCGCTGTATGTACTGTATGTAAAGTCGCGACCACGTGCGTGCCGATGCGCGCGAGCTCGTGTTGACGCACGCGGTTGTTGGGTGCACGTTTTGTTGGCGTGAGGAGACGCGAGGCCGCGTACGTGTACACGCGTGTACGTGCGCACCGTGCGTCCGGCACTCACAAATCTCGTGGGCTGCTTGGCGTGGCGAGGCTCGATCTTCAGCGACTCGTCGAAGAGGTAGTCCATGAACTCCTTCTCCTCCATGTTGCCCATCGGGTTCAGGTTCTCAAAAAACCTCTGCGAGGGCCCAACGGCAGAGTCAGAGGAAGCCGCCCCGTGCGCACGCAAATTCCCCGCACGGACAACAAGCGGCGCCACCCTCGCCCGCCAGATCGCGCCGACAATTGCGAGCGCGCGATTGGCACGGTTGGCTACGCACGACGTGAAAGAAGTTCAACATAGATACGTGTATACTTGCAAAGAACAAAGAAGGGTGCGAGAAAGGACAGAGATGATTGAATCTCGAGAAGGGAAAGGAGGAAGACTTAACGAGTTTGAGCCTGAGCAGGAATAATTAATAATATAAAAGAAATAATATTATAAAGATGACCAGACCACAAACAGTGGTTGATGCAGACGTGATTCCTTGTAAAAGGTTTCAGTTTCGTCTTTTAACATCTCAACACCTGTTTTGTTGCCAGAAAAAAAGGGGAAAAACCTATTATCATATTTTGGCACTGGCAAAGGAGGTCCCATGATGATCAGACAGGTGATACGATGGAGATGGTTTGGGCACGTGTTGAGAGGAGTCGAAGAAGATGCAACGGGAAGGGCTGAGGAGTGGAGGGAGACCGAGGGGGTGGGATGGGAGGATGCGGTTGGACACTGAAAAGGAGCACGTGGAGAGACAACATCCAGGCAGCAGACCTCAAAGCAATAAATGGGAGTTTTAGTTGTGGAGCAGTGTGACCAGCGCATATGGTGTGTGATCGTGAGGTGTAGTGGTTAGCACACTGCTCTACCAATCTAGAGACCAGAGTTCATTTCCCACTCATGAGGACCCCCCCGAGGTCAACTCAACCTTAAATGAGAACCTAGTATGGTGTGGGTATACATCTCCACTCGGGCAGCCGGGCGTTACACTGGCCAACCCCCCCCCCCTTCGTGTAGTACCGTTCTGGCCTTTGTCGGTGCTTGCTAATAGCACTTGCCCCAACAGTCTGTAAGAGGCTATACTGGGGGGATCTTTGTGATTGTGTGAGCAGGTGTGTATGTGATTGAGCCAGAGTGTGTGCGCGCGTGTGTGTGTGCGCACGAGCCACTCACCCGTATGTCGGGCTCGGTGCGCAGGCAGTACGGCTGGTTCTGGTACTGTTGGATCTCGCCCGTGATCTCCGCCACCTTGCGCCGTTTGCTGAAGTTTATGAGCTCCTTGCCGTGCCGCTTCAGGAAGTCCGGGTTTCCCTCCTCCGTCTTGAGAATGTTCGTAAGGTAGATTCCTGCGTGGGATTGTTACAAAACGAAAATCACGCCAACCACTGCAGGAAGTGATCATGCTCCATAATTAAGTCGACTCAGCTCATCACGCCTAAAGGGTCACTAAAACAGGTACCCCATTGTTGTAAGTTAACAGTGGCCGTCCTAGAGATAGCGACTGGTCGCGGCCACAATAATATGAAATGTCCACCACTAGCTGACGGCCACCAATGACGATGGGCACTGCCCACAGGTCATCGTCACGGAGACGGGACTAAGACGAAGGCGGGGGAGCGCATTGCGGGGGTCAGAGGCGGTCTCAGGTCGAGGTCGTACCGAAGAACGGCACGCAGGGCGGGTTGATGGAGCGCAGCTTGAGCTGATACTTCTTGTAGTGATCTTCCATGAGCTCCGACGCCTCCTCCAGCGCTTTCCTCTTGCTCTCCGCTACTTTCTGAGAACGAACAAAGCCCGAGCGGGCGGACGAGTGAGCGAGCACGCACAAGACAGTGCAGCAGACGCGCGTACACACACTCATCAATCAAACTTGAATAGAGCGCTCAAGGGAATGCTGATGCAACGATCAAAGTTGCCTTGTATCAACGTACAGAATGCACGCACGCACACGCGCGCTCGCCCTTAAAAGCCTGCAAAAACGGTCCAAGAAAATGTTGTTCGTGAGCCCCTTTTTTAAGGCCAGTATGGCACAAGTAAAATTGCAGAGGCAGCACCACACATGGCCCGCCACCTTTATATCCAAATATCGGACCCAAATCGCTCATTTAAGGATCACTGGCCTAGCGGAGGTCTGAGACAAGTTCCGAGACCGTTAAACTGATAAGTCTCACAACAACAACATCAAGTATTGTGACGTGATCACATACAGGCACACTGGGGCACACACAAGAGTCTCGAGTCTGAACTTGAACATGGGCAAGGAGTTGACAGCAGTCACCGGGGGCAGGAAATCTCGGCGTGTGTACCCCCAACAGACGACACAGACGCGGGCACGCGGGCGTCACCTCGAGCGTGTGGTGCAGGCGGTAGACTGGCGCCGAGCTCATGGCGCTCACCACCTCCAGGACCCCGTTGAAGTTGTTGAGCTCCTGGAAGACCTGCGCCACCTCGATGATGCGCGTCATCACCGCCACGCGCTCCTCGAAGTTCTCCGCCTCCACGAGGCACCTGCGTGCAACGACCCCCCGGACAGAAGCGCGCAGGCGGACAAGGGATGTGAGCGGTGTGGGGTGGCATAAGAGGAGATGACGGACACAACACGGCAACAGAGCGGAAAGAGGAGACGGCCCCGAGACGTGGAGACAAAGTCGACAGCGAGCAGAAGGATTGGTACAAAATAATGGTATACAAATATTGGGTAGTCATATTGTACGTGGACAGCCCTTTGTCAATCCGCTCCTGGATGAGGGCTTCCCCATGCCGTGCGGGCTTATTGAGGTTGACCAAAGCTCACCATATTGGTGGTGAAGGGTTGGTGAAAACGGAGCAAAGATTTGGGAGTTTAAAAGCACGGTACAATGGATTTTGCTACACTGCCTACTGCTGCCTATAACGTAGGTCCACAACCGTTCATCACGGTGGTCACCTATCCAAGCACAGTCCAAGCTCAATCTTGCTTAGTTTCCAAGATCCGAAGAGATTAGTCAAATTTCTAGGTGATCTGGCCATAAGCAGTGGTTGCTATTAATATTATGAAGTTACGTTATCTATCCAGGAAAGCCTCACTCAGTCTGAAAACTTTTTTTCAAAAGAGTGTTACATTGGGTTAATTGATACATTTCTATAGTGTTTTGCCTATGGAAGAAACCTGAGGACTTGGGAGACAACCCACACAAACAAGTGGATAACATTCAAATGTCTGCAGAGACAGACTCGATGATTTATTTGCTGTCCTGCCATCTCCTTCTGGCCTCCCTACAGCTCAATGAAATTTGGGAATTTCACCAACTTTCGTGATTCATCAACCTTTCCCTTGCCTCTAAAGCACCACATCGCATGCAAGCGCCACCACACTGCTACGAGTCGTGTTGACATTAACGCCAAAATCCACAAGGTGGAGGGTTAAAGATAAAAGCTCGTGGGTCAAGGCTTTCCCGCACGGTATGGGCGGAGTTCACTCACTTCTCGAACCACAGCGTGAGGTTGGTGGTGTGGCGGATCATGCGCAGTAGGTTCGGGGAGTTGATCTCCTTGTCCTCCTTGGTCCAGACGCTGCCCACGAGCTCAGAGGGCTGCACCGCCCTGCGTGGAGCACACACACACGTAGTATACTATTGATCAGGGTGTACAAGGGAAATAATAACGGCGACTTATTTACACGAAAAAGCCACGGTGCGGTTGCACCACCAGCACCCTTGATAGCAAGGCCGACTCTGCCGCCTCGCACGCGCGCCACGAGGAAGGGCATTCCTGCCGCCGCTGGCACCGCGCTACCCCCGTCGCGATCACGAGGGGCACCAGCGCCGCTGGCGCCGCTCACCTGTAGAGCTCGGACTCGATGAGTGTGAGCTGGCGTGCGATCTCGATGGGGTGCAGCGTGAGCACGTCGAAGCTGTCCGCCTGGTTGGGCCGGCTGATGTGCCACTCGACGGGTGGCGGGGAGCTCTCGAACGTGAGGCTGTGGCTCGGCCCGTTGGGCTGCGTCTGCGCCTGCGTCTTGCGCTGGATGATCTTGGTGATGGACTCCACCCACTTGCGCATCGCCTTGCCTGGGAGGGGGCGGAGGCACGGGCTCTGCCGGTTAACAGCACCGCTGTCGCCACCGCCGCCGTCACTTAAAGAACGATGCGATTCCCAGATGAGGATTAAAAATCTTGCCTACGCATGGATTCTGTAAAGAATTCCAAACAAGCATTTTTTCTTGGAAGTATTTGATTACCAATAATGTCACTTTCCGAGCCGCACGACGAGATGATGTCAGGCACGACAAGATGACGTCAGGAGCCTTGAGATACATGGACACGATGATTCGGTGGGAATGCTCCACGTGCCTTATGCTGCAGAAGCCATCGGCTCAATTACTACATGGAATTCGTTTTATTTCTAATAAATATAGTAAAGCTACGTGATAGAGTCAAGTCATGATGTCACCGTCTGACTTATGAATGACCACACTCCTGTGTGACACACATGACCTCATTCTCGCGTGACATCACTCACCCGTGACCTCACTCCCATTTGACCTGACGACCCTGTGACCTCGCCTCCCACCCCCTGCCACGCCCCCACTAAGCACGCACGCACAAACGTGCCGCGGGCGCCACTCACCCCGGACCTCCCGGATGAAGTCCTCCAGGGTGCTGAGCAGCTGCGGGTCGCGCTCAAAGTCGTAGAAGTGGTGCTCCACCCAGTGGCGGCACACGTTCAGCACCCTGCTCGGCGACACGGCGGATCGCGACGGCGGTTACCGACCACGGCCTGCGCCGTTGCCCGCAGGGCGGCACGCCCAACGATTGATGGGTTTTCGACGACTCCACTTTCTAGCGACCGATAAATATGGGCAGCCAGCAGAACTCGTGCAGCTCAGATGGCATTCGAGAACCCACAGGCTTTAAGATAAAACCCAACATTCTGATTTGTCCCAGAACGAAAAGGGAACTTGCAGAGGCTTAAACACAAAACCCCAAGACCATTAATACCCCGAGAGCATTAAGAAGATCTCCACAACTTGAAGATGCCTGCTATTTATTATTTTACCAAGAAATCATCAAGACTTTTTGAAGATTTCAAGTCTCAAGAATTTTTCAAGAATATCCAGGATTGGGATGTTTTTTTAGTTATTAATGTTTGGCACATGTGAGGAGACCAGAGAACCTGGAAAATACCCAGGCATATGAGAGGATAACACTCAAAAACCTCACACAGATGGATTAAAGAATCAATTTGTTGTGATGTGATCTCCTGGCTTCTTTAGAGCCCAGCCGGTTTGGGAGTTTCACAAAACTGTATCATCCCCCACCTCGTCTCTCAAGTACCAGACCAGTGGCAGGCGCCACGGCACCGGCTAAACCCCTCAGTCTCACGCTCCAAGTGCCGTACGAGGACTTGGAGGACTCCTCCAGTCCCTCAGCTACAAAGAGAACTCCCACAATTCCTAAGGCCCCTAAGGGCCACACAAAACTCCCATCGGCCTCATCGGTGACCACCACCAGCGGAGCATCGACGAGCACGCGGACACTCGGGGCGGACTCACCTGAGCTGCACGGGCTGCACGTACTCCTTGCGGAAGCGCTTCAGCTCGGCGCTCATCGGCTGCTCTCCCTGCTCCAGCGCCAGGCGGTCGGCGTCCGACGGCTTTGGGTCGGGGATCTTGAACCTGCGGAGACGACAGGCGATGACGACGACGGGTAATGACGGGCGACTTTTCACGAGATGATGACGCCACCCACGCCCGCCCGCCGTCAACTCATCGATTCATTCACAGGGCTCTCCTCAACAACCCGTCGATCGCAAGTGCTAAACATCACGGGCTTGCAGAGGACAACAGCTTAAGTTCATAGCCGATACGATTCTCGCCATCCGCCAATTGTAATGAACGCGTTAAACCTCACTCTGCGGCGAGCGACTCCTGTTTGGTAGGAGTGATGCTCACCAATCACACATGTATGAATGTTAACTATAGACAACTGGTTAGTTAGGAAAATTAAATGGTGCACAAATGATCCAATCACATTCAATTCAGACTATTACACAAAATAATGTGTTCACCATAATGCTACATTTACGAATAATATAAGGAACTGTGGATATTTAATGAGAGAAACACTTAAACCGAACATGATAGTGTTGGTCTACCATCCTTAACTGTTGCTAGAGTAACGCTCAAACACCAACACATGCTTGGCACATGGGATCGTGCGGTTGCTGTTGGAGGGAGCGTGGTGTTCACGATCACGGACGAGCAACAGAGACCGAACGAAAGCAAATACTTAGCCCTCGCCAGAACGCAACTCTCTACGACACCACCGTGCAGCCTCCTCACCGTTCGATGAGCAGATCCAGCAGCTCCTGGGGTTTGCAGAACGAGCGGTACGTGGTCAGGAAGGTTCGCACAAAGTTGGGATCTGTGCGGGGAAAAAACCACAGACAGGCGATGATGATCCGGCCGCATGAAGCACTGGCATGGTCGCCCTCGGGCACCTGCTCGCTGTCAAGGATGACCAACACAAGCTCATCGCCAGGATTCCCACATCCTGGCGATCGATGACCGTTGAGAAACCGTCGAGGACTAAACGTGGCTTCAGACAGCAACGCGAATTGGAAAGTGACAAGCGATTGAAGGCAGAAACTCACAACAAGACTGCAAGCTGTGGTTATAACCGGAGTCAATTCAAGAAACGTAATGACTCTTACGCACGATCTTACTCTAGCTGTGTCTGTTCCTGGCCATTTTATATTATACGCGAAGGGCCTTTGCTTTGAAGATTGTGATTACAACATTGGTGATTAAATTGAATTACGCAGAAAAGAGTCAGAGTCTCAAGACTCTTTCAGGACGAGTCTGCATTGGGATGTTTTGCCAGCGAAATAAGTTCAACATACATACATTAAGGGAGTGTTTTGCGTGTGGGATGAAACCAGAGTGGCAGGGGATAACACTCAAAGACTTGTACTGCCATCTCCTGGCTACCTCTCAACCCAGCGGGTTTTTCCTTTTGGCAAATGCTTGCGAGCTACCAACGCTCGCGAGCTACCAACGCTCGCCTGCAAGCAGCGGTGAACCGCGGGACTGCCAGCGTTCTACACGCAAGAAGAATATTTCCGTGACGGTGAACGAAAGCACAAAGAAGGAACTACAATTCCCATGCGATTCACCAACGCCACCCTCCTCGACTGCTGGATCGCAGGGCGAGCCTGCCGCCGTCTCCGGGGCCGTACCTGCATACATGTGGTACGTGAGCCTCTCAATGAGCTTGAGCACGGTGCCTCCGCGGATGATGGGGATGCCCGACTTGGCCTGCACGCTCTCCTCGAACACGATGTTCTCGTCCGAGTCCTCCAGGGCGAAGCGGTAGTCGCTGGGCGCCGGCAGCCGCAGCGGCCGCTCCTTCTCCTCCTGCGCCAGAGCGGCGTCGAGCATGCGCTCCAGGGTGCTGCGGTACTGCAGCGCGATCAGCGCCGCCATCCACGCATCCTTGTCGTCGGCCGTCCGCGCGCAGAACACGATGGACGTGCCGCCACCGCCGCCTCCTCCGCCACCCGAGCCGCCGTAGCCGTAGCCGCCGTTGCCCCCGATGACGATCATCCCGGCGCCGCCCATCCCGCCGCCGCCGCCCATCATCATCACGCCGCCGCTCACCATGCAGACGCCGCCGCCGCCGAGCCCCCCGCCCCCGCCGGGCCCTCCGCCCACGCCGCCGCTCCCGCCGCCCGGCAGGCCCGGCAGGAGGCTGCCGGCGGAAGAGAGAACGCCGCCCGAGGCCAGGCCGGCCGCCACGCCGGGGCCGCCGGGAGGCAGTCCCGCCAGGCCCGAGGCGCCGTCCGAGTCGCGGCACGTGATCTCGAAGGCGTGGCGGTAGTCGGAGGAGTCGTCCTTGTCCGTGATGCGCGCCTTGCGCACCTGCAGCTTCTCCTGCGCGGCAGGCAACAGCGGATCGTCCGAGGCAGGTTTTAGGTCACTCCCAGTGAGAACTATGCCGATTTTTTTAATGCCGACTGTGCGCACACTGATATCATGACGTGAGATTAAGTATTCGGAATGCTAGCAAAGCGGTCACTAAACGCGCATGTTACACAACAACCAGTGGGTTGCAATTCCACAGAAGTACTGAGGTGTCTTCAAAGTGACCTTTTTATTCACAATCAGCGGGTGCTGCACTTTTTCCCCCAAATGCCCTGATACAGAGAAACATTTTCAATGCACAGCAGTCAAAACAATATTTAACATTTTCAGAACTGGATTTTATCCGAGTGAAAAAATAGTTGGGAGGTTTTATGTTTTGTGCAGTCATTGGTGCCCAGGCTGAATGTGTTACTCACAGATGGCTGGAACCTGGAGTCGAGCCCAGGGTTTCAGTGGTGCCAGTGGTTCCATCGCTCGGACCTGAGCTACGTGGAATTGCGTTCTTTGTTGTGGCCAGTGCGCTCAACTCCAGGTCCCAATGTTCTCTAGCCCACATCCTGTCAGCCCAGCCAACCAAGACCTCTACGTGCATGCTGCAACCGACCCAGTCAACTCAGCCAATTTATTCTCGCCTGCCAAAGGACATCACTGAAGGGACCCCACACAAGCCTAACCTCGATAAATATAATAAACCAACAAAAACAACAGCAGCCATCGATCTCCACTAAGTGAAGATGACGCCACCGTAGCTACGCGCACAACCGCACGCCAGCATCCAAACAAACTCCACCACGAGCGCCTTCGCGTTGCTCCTTTCCCCACCCTCTCATGTCCCCCCCCCCCCCGCCGCCGCCGTGGTCGCCCACCTTGAGTCGGTACTCGGAGCTGCTGCTGGAGCCCGGCAGGCGCGGCGGGCCGTGGTGGCCGAGCGGCTTGCAGCTCACGAGCAGCCCGTCGAACAGGAAGACGTAGCGCTCGTGCTTGGCGCCGGCGCGCGCGAGGGGCCCCTCTGTGAGCAGCTGGCTGCAGCACTGGCTGATGTCGCGGCCCTCCCAGCCATCGATGCTCTTCTGGATCTCGTGCATGCGCCGCAGGGCCAGGTGCTTGCTGCGCATGGGGCTCATGTAGAAGCGGTGCGCCGGCTCGCTGGTGCCCGCGGCGTCATGGAACGGGGCAGGTGGGCGTGAGGGGGGGGGGGAGCAGTGGACGGACGCACGCACGCACCGCCACGGGCGCACACAGGGGCACGACGACACGTGTACACGCGTACAACAAAAAGGCAGAAATCGCCCGATTAGACTCACAGATTGTGGAGGCAAGCGCTTTTAGTGAACGCCTGTTGAGGCCCGCCTGACTAGGAGGGCTGGTGCAATAGTGTGCACCGTGGATGCTCAGCCACTTTTGTCTCCCCAGTGCTGTGCCAGACGGTCATTTGAGCCGAGTTAGAAAAGAACGAGGTTCAGACTCAGATACCGCTCATGACCGAGCACTCCCCTTCACCAACACTGCACTGATCAGCAGGTGGGGGGGGGGGGGGAGTACGAGTCACGCCACCCCCGAAACCGGCACGGAGCGGGGGAGGCACACGGATCCAAGTCGCAGAGCGCGTGCGGAAAGACAGAGAGAGAGCAGGCAGCTCACCTGAGACGGCGCTTGGGCAGGTGGCGCGCGCACGTGCGCTCGATGCTGCTCTGCAGGTTGAGCAGTGCCGTAATGGCCTGTTTCAGGCACTCGCGGTCCTCCTCCTCCTCGCTCTTCTCCTCCAGTTGCTGCGCGTGGTGACGCAGGGAGAGAGGGGGGGCGGCGAGGGATGGCAAAAGTGGGAGCGTTGACAAGAAAGACGCGGGGAGAGAGGCAGAGAGATGACACGATGGATGAATGATTGTCGCGTTAGCAAACTCTTGTTTGTGGGGGACAGCACGAGTATGAGTAAGTGAGCGTGAGTCATTGAGTGAAGGATTTATTGAGTTGAGGGGGTAAATGATTTAGTAAGTGGGTCAGCGTGTGGGTGAGTGAGTGTGTACGAGTGAATGTGGATGAGAGTTCGAGTGTGTAAGAGTGAGGGTGCTGAAACGAGAGTGTTAACGTGAGTGTACGTCAGCAAGTGTGCAAGGGCGCGATGTCAGGTGACCAATGACAGCCGCCCCCACCTTGAGCAGCTCAAAGTAGTGCAGGCAGTGGTAGATCGGGCGCAGCAGCAGGCGCGGGAGCATGTACTGCACTGCCTCCTTGAAGCCCTCACCAATCGACTAAGGGATACACAAAACCACCAACACACACACAGAAAGAATGCCCCATATAGCCATCACAGATTGTTGGGACAAGTGCTGTTATCGAGCAGCTATGAAGGCCAGAAAGGCACGCGAGGGGGTGGCCAGTACTACACCCGACAGCCTTTGTCTCCCCAGTGGCGATGTTTACTACACACCGTGCCAGGTAGTGATTTGAGACCGAGTCGACCTAGGGGAGGCCCAGGACTGGTTCAGAGAATTGTCAATGGTGTTGGCCGTGAGCGAGAATCAAACTCGGGTTCCTGGGTTCGTAGTGTAGCGCGCTAACCGCTACACGATCGCTCCCCACCCACACACCCATGTAACACACACACACGTGTGTACAAACACCCACATACACACACACACGTGTAAACGCCACCAATGTACACACCCACGTACACGCACACACCCACACACACCCACGTACACGCACAAACGTACGCATGCAGACACGCACAGAATCAGCCGTCAAAAGAGATGAAGCTGTGTACAAAGTGCGATGAATTCTGAAGCGATCACACAAGAGTGGGTGTGTGTAGGGAAGTGGGTGGTGAGGCAGGGTGTGTGTGTGTGGAGGGCCGTAGGATCGAGACGCACGCGGAGGTAGTTTGCGGCCCCAGGCTTGGACATGAGGCCGAGGAAGTGGTCGTGGTAGCCAGAGCGCAGGATCTCCTGCGTGTAGATCTCGTAGGGGTCAAACGCTTGCTCCTAGTCATGGAGGAGAGGGTGGAGATAAAAAAATATATATTAACGTCGTCAATTCAATTCAAACATTTCTTACTACACTGCATTGCGGCTAGTTTTCGTCTCAACCCAGAAAAAGCTCTCCCAACTCAACGCATGTTTTCTGTGACCCCCGATCAACAAGCTTTCAACCCTCCACCCACAATCCTGGGTTTTTTCGCCTGTGACCTTTCTGCGAGTCTTCTACAGTATGACCACAATGCCAAGGCATCCTGTCAGGGAGTCATCACCACTGCAGCAATTATAGCTGCATTTGTTTTGTAACCTTCTATCAGCCAGCGTTCAGCACTCCAGCAAATGCAGGTCATGTCCCTTCACCCCCTCCCCCGCCCACCCCATCAGTAAACTTTCATTGCTAAACGAGGGCCCCTGGAATGTAACAAGGCGAGCACAGAAGTTGCAGTGGTGGAACATTGATTGTTATTGTTCACAGGTGAGTGTGCATGGGTGAATGGGTGAGCAGCTCAGCAAGTGAGCGAGTGGGCAGGTGAGAAAGAGAGAGTGAGCGACTGAGGAGGTGAGTAGTAGAGTAAGGTGAGCGAGTGAGCAGGTGGTCGGTGAGCGAGTAGGTGAGTAGGTGTGCGAGTAGGTGAGCGAGCAGGCGAGCAAGTGAGCAGGTGAGCGAGTGAGCCAGCGTTGTCACCTCAGCCATGTCCTCGAAGCAGCTGCCCACGAGCGGGTGAGGGCTGCTCTCATCTGTCATCTCGACCGTGTCCTCCATGAGGCCCAGCAGCTTCACGGTCAGCTCGTGCACGTCCAGGATGCGGCTGAACACCATGTCCAAGTCCTGTGGCGCGGTGCGACACAGCACGGTGAAGCGACGACATCCTGTGGCACCGCATGGCCAGTAAAGCACAAGCCTGACCCGGCGCCTGAACACACTGGTGATCGATCCAGAGGTGGCCGTGTGGCTTGGGAAGCTGATGCTTCAACTGGGTGAGAGCATTAGGCCAGCACTGCTTCAGGCGTGGAGTTTGAATCACAAAGATTAAAAAGCCGTATGTAAATTTATGTTACATATTGGCTTATACCAGCCCTGAGGGATAGGTTTGCAACTGTGTTTTAAATGGCACACGTTCGCAATGAACCACTCTCTGCCTTGTGGTTTGTGGGCAGACACACATGCGTGCACACCAGTGCGCACAAGGACAACAAAGATTCCATGCGTAGTCTACACTGCCTGCTGGGGCAAGTGCTGTTCACAAGCACATAGAAACGTTGATATAGCACACAAAGGGGTGGTCTGATCAATTGTACACCTGGCTGCCCCCCATACGCACAAGCATGCATGTACATATACATAAAACAGCTGCCATTTGCCATATGAAGTGTGGATAGCTCGCTGGCAGGAAGTAACAGGACGACTAAGGCATTATGGGTTGACCGAGATACACCACCTGCACTCCCCACTTTGCCGAAATTCGCACGTAGACACACGAATGGACACAGACGAACAAACACGCGAATACCAGGGCACGCACGCACACACGCACACCAACAACAACAGTCGCCATTTGCCACTAAATTACGGTGACGTCACCACAGAGCCTGTACCGGGGCTAAGTACACATAGCACGTGAGCGTGAGCATGCGCGCACGCTCACGCACGCGCTCACACACGCTCACGCACGCGCTCACGCACGCGTTCACACACGCTCACGCACGCGGGCGTGCACGCGCGCACGCTCACGCACGTGAGAGGAGAAGAGGCCCGGCGATGACGCGAGTGGCTCGCGGAAGACGCGCAGGATGAGGTTGAGCTCGCGCAAGTACTGCCGCTCCTCGGCGATGAGCGCCTTCACCAGATCGTCGTACGTCTGCTCGCACGCCGCGCTCGGCTCCTCGTCGCCCGAGAGCACGCTGGACAGGTCGGCGTCGTCGTCCTGCTGGAACATGTCCATCAGCACCTGGGTCGGGGGGCGGTGGGGGGAACACAGCGGGACAGACGGTGTGGCTCAGTCACTCGGCCAGGAGTGATCGTCGATATGAATAACACTGTTAGTGATTCCATGCTATATGTACCAGATAATGAAAAGGAATGACTCGTACATTCCGGAATTTTATCGTGACCCCTTATCGTAAAAATTCGTCTGAATCTCTACATGCAGAGTCGTGTGCATGCGAGTTTTTATGGCGACGTTGTTTGATGTATGTTGAACTTCTTTCGCACCGTACGTAGCCAACCGTGCGTGCGCCACCGTCGCTCCACAGCCACTAGCGGCGCATTTGCAGGTACCTTGTCGGCGCACATGGCCACCTTGATGTCCTGCTGGGTGATCTCGAAGTGGCGGATGTTGCGCACGTAGTTGCCGGCCAGCTTGAGGATGTCGGCCGAGATGTACTCGAGCACGGCCACGATGTAGGTGGACACCTGGTGGTCAATCCGGTAGCCCAACACCTCCTGTGCACCACCGGCAGCGGGGGTCAAAGGCCAAGAGATCAGAAGAGAGGTGGCAGAAAACGGCCCTTCAGATATCAACTCCTCACGGAAGAGGACGACGAGGAGGGATTCAATAATGCACCAATGAATCTATTAAAACCAACTCGTACATTTAGGGTACAGTAATTGAATGACGCGTGTAAGAATCAATTACTTTTTCGATATGTGTATGTCGTGTGTAATGGGATCGCACGATCCTCGTATCCACTAGCGATGCTACATTCACCAAAGGATCAAAGGGGAATAAGAACGAATAAAGGAGAAGAGTGAGACAGGGTAAGTTGAGCGAGACGTCGAGACCGAGCGAGTGAGATTAAAAGACGGAGCGAGGGGTGGGAGGGAGAGGCAGCGAACGGACGAGGAGAGGAGACGGGGAGAGAGGAGACGCGCCGACACCGAGAGATCGAGGGGACCGAGCGGGGCCACCTTGAGGAGCGGGTGTATCTTGTCGACGGGGAGCAGGAGGGGGCTCCTCCGCTTCCTCTTCTCGATGGCCGACTGGGCGTCCCCGATGGCCCACGTCTCAATCGGGTGCGGGAAGGTCTTCTGGACACGCTCCTGGGAGCACACAATGTGACAACGCAACACGCACATAGTTCACATAGTCACACACGCAGTCACTCACGTACATTGTCACACACGCAGTCACACATGCACAGTCATAGTTATTGTCACTCACACATGCACAAAGTCACTCACGCACAGTCAGACAAGCAAGCACAGTCACTCACACACATAGTCATGCACACGTAAGCACGAACGCAAACACCGCCGTCACCGTCGCCGCCAGCGCGCATGTACTGGGCGCTGAAGTCGCACGCACGCCAAGCCGCATGCGTTGCCACGAACGTTCATGCTGTTCGTGTATTTGCCGTTACGCGCCGGGATTCGAAGCATTGTGCCGTTCAACAGAAGCACGCAAAGTTTTTGCGTAACGACATTTGCGGGGCAGAAGGCAGCTGGGCGTCTTTAGCTGCCTAATGTCCCGTGTCAGAGTAATGAGCCGGCACCCAAGGGCAGGAAAGTCGGAGAACAAGCCTTGGCCGTACGAGTGAGAGAAAGCGCCGGCAGACAATAACCGGGCAAGGGCGCCTTCTGGTTTTAAAAAGGGCTCTCGCTGCGGCGAGTTGGGCAATACGTCGGTGTGTTTGCATTTTTATTTGACTTGCACTCATCTGTGAGACCGCAGAAAGGAAAGCGCTAAGTGGCGGGGCGACAGGTGATGTTTGAGGAGTGCGACGCACAGAGGTAATCAATTGTCAGCCAAAGTGCCGGTCCTGTAATGACACAGTGATAAGACAACTTTGGACTGGTTTCGTCCTCATTAGGACTCATCGGTACAGTAGTCACCAACGCACACTACTGCAAAGTCTACCTATGGAAACCATATTTGTGGAGTCCTCACTGTTGTTTGCTTTTTTGTGTTTGGTGTTCAGCATCTCCCCCTCTGCGGCTGCTTCCTACTCCCAGGACCGCCGGTGAACCTGTGATAATCCTGCAAGTTGGGACGCGCGAGGACGTACGCACCTCGACGTCCTGCACGTTGCGCGGCTGCGTCACGCACAGCATGCTCAACAGCTGCAGGATGAGCTCCTCGATGTAGCGCAGCGCGTCGTCGTTGGCGGTCAGGTTCGGGTGCACCTGCCTCTGCACCTGCGCTCATTCACGGGCAGAAAAGGGTCAAGGGTCATCCGCCTGTCCGAGGGCAGCGTCGGTCAACTTTCACGCGTTATCGGACCTGCACCAATCCTAAACCAGACTCGGGAAGAACATTTTTACTGGGTGTGTACCGATTAATTAATTAGAAACAGAAGGCACTTTCAAATTGACTTCTATTGTTGTTGGAGGGAAGCTACCTTTAAATGCCCAGTCGTGTTTTTCACGGGCACCTTCCACAGGTGCCGATTTTGATGCTGCTGGTACCAGTCATCAATAAACCACTCAGCGCCAAGCCCCCCTGTAACCACATCAACCTCTCTTCTCTATCCGGTTACATGTCAATTTAGCCCCCTATATTAAGCCAAAGAGAAGCTACTTAATCGTGCAGTCAGTTGGCATGCGGGCTACATGAACCAGCCAACACATCCTCGCAAGACGGAAAAGTTCACCGAAGGGGGCTATGACCAAATATTTCAAGTTTCTGTGATCAGAAGACAACTTACAATCCATCTTGGCTAAACCCAGGATGGATCATAAGACAGGGCAGCTTGAGGTTTGAAATCAGTGCAGGTGTTCCTGTAATCGAGTCCATGTTTCTCAAGTGCTGTGACAAGATCCAGAGCTGTATGCAGTGCAACAGGCCGGGCAGCCTGCAAAGAGCATTAAACAGTCGCTGAAAAGATGCCGCGTGACAAGATTTAGAGTGCGACCTCTGCTGCCTAACTGGAGCTGGTCGTCGGCACACGGCCCAAATACCACCACCTCATAAACCACCGCACAAAACTCGAATGGAGAATTAAGGATCTGGATTTGTTGAGGACACAGGGTACTCAGGTAGGTGTTTTGTTGGGTCAGATGGCAAGGCCCGATCTCTTGGGGATACGTTCCAGGTTTACCAGTTCATCAGCATGCATACATAACATGGTTGACCAGCAGGGAGACATCCTTTGACCTCACCCGGGTATCAATCACTCACTTGTTTACAAACCCAGACAGCCAAGTGTATTCACACATACCGTATACACAGATGCACAAACACACACATTAACAAATATGTACACATGTTCACACATTAATTACTCATTTAACCAACTGATAAAGACTCATAAGCACTGTTACCAATGTAAAACCTAATGTGAAACCAAAAAATATTCATATGACCTTAGGGAACAGTACATAAAGAGTACAGAAATAGGCAAGCGAAAACTATTTTACAGCATCTCATTGGAAAATATTTGACTAACCCATGTGGAAATATACATTCACATGATTGACTTATTGCATGTCTATCTTGAGTCAAAAGTTCAGTCAGAGGGTCAACTTGGGCCAACATTTTTCTTGGGGTGATAAAATACGCATTTATACACTGGTCCCCCACCATGGGAATGTGAAATATTCCCCGTCTGTTCAGAGCCACCGGCAGGAGAGGAGCGCTTTGCACCTTGGCTGCCCGAGCAGGCAGACGACGCCGTGGCTGGAACTTTGAGTTTTACTGGCAGAACGTGGCCCGAAACCACCGCTGCTTGGTTGCCTGCTATCACTGCCAAGTGCCCTCTACAAAACACCACAGTGGCCCCCCATTGAGCACAGTCGGGGAAAAGTGTACCCAAATTCATTTTACGTACATTTTTGGTGGTTCGTTACAAACCACCAACACGGACCAAAAATGTACGTCGTTCTACAATAATTGTTATGCTTGCTTATCCAAGAAAGCCTCATGCAGTCTCAGGACTCTTTATTCTTCAGGAGTGTCCTGGCAAGTTTCGCTATATTGGGGGGTGATGTTGCTATTTGCAAACCCAATTTAATACTTTGCAGGTAGATTGGGATGTTTGTCAAACACTAGTTCCATTCTCTGTGGGTCTTTCGGTAAAGCCACGTAGATAGAAAAATAATAGATCACTACGTTTCGATCGCAACACAGGCAATCTTCAGGTGAACCAATTTCTCAACCACATCAATTCCATACACCCAGCCATCAAATTCACCATGGAAGTGGAAAAGGAAGGCAAGTAACAATTCTTGGATGTTTTAATCGAAAAGAGACCAGATGGCTCATTGGGACACTGTCTACAGAAAAGCCACCCACACGGATGCCTATCTAAATCCTGACTCCCACCACCATCCAGCCCAGAAGAATTCCCTCATCAAAACCCTACACCATAGGGCCCGTTGCATCTCCGACCAGCAACACCTAGCCAGTGAACTGGAGCACATACACCAAGCCCTCAAGATGAATGGATATTCGGACCACACAATCCGCAAAGCTGTCACCCCAACCTTGGGGAGAGAACCCTCTGAGAATCCAATCAAAAACATCACCTTGCCATACATAGCAGAATTTCCCAAAAAGATTTCCAAAATCATGAACAAACACAAGATCCAGGTTCGATTCAACACAGTACATAAAATTCGTGATCTGATCCCATCTGTGAAGGATGTGATCCCTGACATGCAATACCCCGGGGTGTCTACAAACTAAGCTGTGTCTGCGGCAGTAGTTATATTGGGGAAACTAAGCGACATGTCTCGGACCGTGTTGGTGAACACAAGGCGGATCTGAAACGCGGTAGGACCAATACCTCGGCCATGGCTGATCATCGTTTGAACGCTGTGGGCTCACATTAAATTGATTTTCCCAAGACGAAGGTACTATGCAAACCCACTGGCAATCAAAGATTTGTCCATGAAGCCATCCAGATATATAAACACAGACACAACTTCAACCGAGCAGATGGGTACCAATTGAGCAATCATTGGAAGGACGTAATTAACCAGGTAAAGTCTTAACCTGCCGTGATGTTTTCATCCTTCCTGCCGATGTTAGCTGACTCTCTGAGTTGCATCACTAGGTTGGATGTCTTTGTATTGACAGGCTGGATGTCCTACTCGATCTGCCACCGAAGCAAAATTGACATGCTGATCTCTCACAATACAATGGCCACTTTCACAGCTTCAGGGAGACCATCTCTAGCCCCACCCTCTTACCCTGAGGGGACTCCCATCTCAGGCCTATACAAGACCTTGTATCAGTAGCTTTCTGTCTCTCACCTGAAGACGCATTTATATTTTTACGAAAAATATGAACATCAACACACATTTAACAAATGGGATGGGGGGAAAAAAACTATTTGGAATTAAAAATGTGTGCTGAATTTCTGATCTTCCGTGTGATATATGTGGTTGTGCAAAAAAAATATTTTCAGATGAGACTTGAGTTGTTTATGCCCTTGCTTAAAACCATAAACTCACTGCACTTGAGAAGCAAGTTCAATCACAAGCCACTACCTTGTTTTGAACTCAGGGTGTCAAAAGTAACAGCACAGTCCTCTGACCTTCGAGACATCCACCAACATCACATTACACTTTGGTGCTGCACTTAATTTGGCTGAATCCCAGTTCTAAACATTAAGAATATCACTCTCAGCGGCCGCGTGGATGGGCAAGTGCTGCCCCCAACTGTGTGGGTCAGAGGACACTCGGCGAGATGTCAGAAGGAGTTCCGTGATATCCATTTCCATGGGCCATTCAAATAGATTCTTCCCCTCACAACACGATGCCAATACTTATATTCTTCACAATTACCCTCATGATGATTTTGTGTGATGTACCTATGACACTCTCCGCTGGAGGAAATTACTAATTTCCCCGACAGGTGAGTGTGTCACACATCTTTCTCTCCTGCCATAAACTGATCCACCGCCCCCCCCCGCCCCCTCCCTCCAAGTCGCTGAGTAACAGCCGGTAAAATAAGAGGGCCTCTAATGAGCGGTCACCCAAGAGCGGTTCAGACCGGCTTTGTGGTTACACGTTTTACTGGAGGGCCCAGTGGTGACGAGGCAGGAAGCCAGGGCCGGTACACAGCACCGAGACCCCAGGAGGCAGTGGGCGTCATCTCAGGCCCTGGAGACGTCTTGGCCCACATGGAAGAAGACGCAAGTTGTGTGGTGCGGCTGGTTTGCAGTCGCGAGTCCTTTCACTTCGCAACTGTTGACATTTGCATTGGCGAATGTTTTTGGACAATGCATAATGTGAAACACACCTGGCTTCTTCAAAACCCCACATTTTTGTAAATGTAACCATGAAAAAAATAACGTACGGTCTTTTGTCAATCCACTGCTGGATGAAGGCCTCCTCACACCCCGTCTGTCATGGGGGTTGTTTGATCATACTTCACCGGGCTGGTCAGCGGGAGTTGAAGAGGGGGTGGGGGCGTCACTCGGACTGGTTCAGATATCACTCAGCACCCATGTTAGCTGTGGCCGGGGGGGGGGGGTTAAACGGTGAAATGTGCTAACCACCCTGCCCCCGCTCCCCCTTCCCACTGTAAAACTTAAATACGACCGCGAGAGGGAAAGTAACACCAACGGAGTACGGCAATTTTTTTGCGGTTAGCAGCCAGGCATGCACCCACCGACTAAAAAACGCGTGCACAGTTTTCAGCGGATGAAAACTATGTTAAAATATTTGTTTTTGAGAGCGACCTGCTGGGCTTAACGCTCGCACGCACACAGGCGCACGCAACCAGTCAGTTTTTGTTCGAGCCCCCCCCCTCGCCGTATCGTCTCAAACCGCACCCCGCACCGCCGGTCCGCTGCTAAAGCTAAAGAGTGCAATTTTCCCACAATATTATTGCGTACGGCAACATTGCTGTCCACATTGCTCGGCCTCAATGCTGAGTAAATACTGATCGACGTCAGTCTACGACAGGCAGCTTGGTCCCAACGCCTTTTGAAGCGTATTGCGATGCACATGCAACAGAAGCATTCTGTAATTGGCTGGAAAAGCCATGTGGGTCATCATGGAAGCTTGGACAAATGTGGCCAAATGCTTATTCAGGCACATTGAACCATGTTGCCAAGTGGAGTTGGTTGGAGTGATGGAGGTAGCACTGTTAGAGGTTCTGGTCATTGAAGTTGTGGTATTAGAGGTAGCGGTGATGGAGGTTGCAGTGATGAAGGTTTGTGGTATTAAATGGTGAGATGTTAATAGGT